AATCAACGCTCATGTTTTTCTTCCTAAGAATCTCTAAAGAAAGCACAAAACATTTTAAGGGGAAAATCACAAGAAACCCATACAAGCAGGAAGGTTTGCAGCTCCCTTTTGGGCAGGGAGAAGGATCTGCTCTGTTAAAATGACTGGAAAACGTTTGGGTGCATGAACTCCTGAGGAAACACCACCACAGGTCTGCAGCAAGCAGTGCTAGAGGTGCTTGGTAACCTCATTTTTTGGGCAGTTAAGTCTCACCTCTTAGTTTAAGATTCAGTGCAAGGAACAAAACTCATAATTTGATTGTACTTTAAATCAGCAAGTATTTTGCCTTGACAATTCAGAGTTATCCAAGACAAAATGTCAGTTCACTACTAATGAAAGAAAACACCAAATTAATTTACAAGCACTCTTACAGCAAATTTTGTGTTATTTTACAGCAAACAAATTGTGAAAAGAAAATGTTATCCTTACTCTGTATGATCAGTTCTCAATGAAGTCAAAACTGCTGGCTTGTGCAAAAAGGCCAAATTGGGCTTAACCTGACAACTGTGGGTAATTACATGTAGTCATATAAATCACATAATGTAACAAAAGGATTTTGCACAGCAATATCTTCTCTCATGATGAAAAACACTTTTCCAAATGCTGAGACAAAGAATAATCTTTTAGCAATAAGAGACTGAGTATTTTTCAGCTGAATTAAAACCAAGACATCAACACAATCAACTTTCCACAAACCACACTTACAACCACTTTTTCAATTTTGAGTTAATATTTAAAAAAAGGTCAAATTCATTTTTCATTCATTTTCTTTCTGCCTGTAAATATGGCAGTTATGGTTTCAAGACATTCTGCAAAACTCTTAGCAATGTACCCATAAATTATATACAAGCAATGCTTTAAAATAACTGTTTCTAAATAAATCTTTGACGAGTGATTTTACTCCTTTAATCTTTGTGTAATTCTATAAACACTCCAGATTCACATGCTGTTTTACATCCTTCAACTTGGAAAGTTACATCCTGATTGAACTACGAGACTGACTCTTCTGAAGTCGAAGAAATAACGCGTGACCAAACTAAAGAGAGTTCTGTTATAAATTCTTAAGAGGGCTGGTTTTATGTGCAGTCACATCCATACGCGAAACTGCAATTACTAAAATACATTCTGAAAGTTCACCTCCGTACCAGCTGCAGGCACACAAACCTACAACTGTACCAGTGAGCAGAGCAAAAAGGGAAAGCTGTGGCACTCGAAATCCTTAAAGTGTATCACAATACATACGCATTTAGAAAGCATAACCACTGTGTAATGAAATGTGTGGCAATCGAGGCTGATGTGCACCTGAAAAGCCGTAGTTTGGTAAAGGCACCTTCCCCTCCGTGCCCGGGGCAGCCCTGTGAGGCGGTCTGCCCGCGGTCTCTGCGGGTCCCCTTCCCTTTTTCGAAGCTCCCCCGGCGCTGCTCAGCCCCCGCCGGACCCGCTCCCCCTCGGCACCAGCCGCACCTCAGCCGAGTCCGGCCAAAACTTGGTGCCGTGGAAAGCGAAGCAGGTCCGTGGCGGCCCCAGCCCCGGCGGCGTCTCCCCCCACACGCAAATCCCGCCCGTTTCCCCTCACGAACCGCTCCCAGCCGGGCACAGCCGGGGGAGGCGGCGGCGCCCGAGCCCCCGGGCCGCGGTATCACCCCCTCCATCCCCGGCGGACCCGCACAGCGCCGGGAGGGCTCCGACCCCCGGCCGGCCGTGCCCTGCCCTCCCACACCCTCCCGGCTCCTGCTGAGGCGCCTTTTCCCCCCGCCGGCCCTCACCCCGCGGGGGCCGCCCCGCGCCGCCTTACCCGCCTGCGGGACTCCGGGCTGGGCGAGCAGGGGCGCGCAGAGACAGCTGAGCAGGAGCAGGAGCAGGAGCGTGGCGCGGCCGCAGCCCCGCAGCCCCGCTCCACGCCCGGCCATGGCTGGGGCACGGCCCCCGCTGCCTCCGAGCCCCGCAGCCGGGAGCGGCGGGAGCGGCCGGAGCCGGGCGGAGCTGGGCCCGCCCCGCGGGGGCCGTGAGGGGGCGCGGGGGGCGGGAACCAGCGCCGGGCGCGGGCGGGGTCCCGGCCCCGCGGGGACTCGAGCGTCCCGCACCCGGACCCCCACACACCTGAACCCCACACACCTGAACCCCCGCACACCTGAACCCCCACACACCTGAACCCCACACACCTGAACCCCCGCACACCTGCACCCCCCCGCACACCCCCACACACCCGCACTCCGCCCGCCGCGGCCCCCCGGGCTGCCCGAGCCGCTCCGGGAGCCGGTGCCGCCGCAGGAGCTCCGGGCAGGTACCGCCGCTCCCTCAGGCTCGTCCCCGCCGCGCCCGTCAAACAACTCCGGGCTGAGCACCCCCGTCAGCATCTGCTGCTGCCACACCGCGCTCGGGGGAGGGTGTGAGTTTCAGCGACTTCTAGCGAAAAAGAAAATTAAACTAACTTTTAATTTCCGTTCCGTATGAAACAGTAGGTTTGTGTGGTGTTTTGTTTTTGGTTTTTCTTTCGTTTGTGTTTTTTTTTTTTTAATTTATTTTTTAAAGTTTCTAGAAGAATAGGGTTTTTAGAAGTTTCTAAATCAGAATATTTTGGAACTTTTAACCAAAAATAGGAAAACTGATGCAAGCTACAAAGACCCAGAATATTTCCATCTATATATATATATTATAGATATAGATACACATAATATGTATAATAACATATAACGTGTATAATATATATAACACATATATATAACATATATAACAGATATTATATATAACATATATAATAAATACTCTGTACAAAACACCCACCTTTTTTTCTGCACCAGATCAATAAAATCTGCTACAAAAGACAACTTTCAGTGCACGAACTGTGAAACTCAGTTAATGATTTGTCCTAAATCGTCCTAATGGAAATGCACGGTGTACACATTGCCACAGAAAATAGAAGCAACTGGCACTTTTTTTACATCTGAGATATTAATGTTTTACAGAGAGAAAAGATTTGGAAATAAGGGCTAAGTGGCTTAAGTGTTAATCAGCTGCAAGATGAAAAGTGCTAGATACCATATTCCTCAGGAAAATGGTCCTTATTTAATAAGGTCCTTATTTAATTCAAATAATTTTAGCAACTTCATATCTTCCTAAAATGGGCATTACCCAAAGTAGCAATTTCATTAAGTGTGTTGTCAGTTGCCAAAATTCTTTTCCAGAAAAATAGTGCATCTCTCTGTATAAACTGTGAATCTTCTCAATGACTGAAACAGAGTACTGGAGCATTTTAATCCCTTAGTTTTTAAACTTGTGTTTTTTCTGTGTGATCTTACCCCGCAGCCATATTTGGGTTGTGCATGTCTGTGCAAGACACAACGCAGTCTGTGCAAGCACCCAGAAAAAGGCTGCTTACCCAGGAGTTCCTTCCAGCACACTCCTATTGATTTGAATACTCTGCAGTAAATATGGTCATTTTACATAGCGAGAATCCATTTGTGTACTGCACAATCAAAAGATACATGTGTGAAAGGATGCAGCATGACTCCTCCTATTTTGAAATGCTCAGTGTGTATGCAGTGGTCAACCCAAGATTTTAGAGTAAATTAAAAATATATTTTAGCCCAAAACAAGGCACAAAAGAACGCTATTTTATTTCTTTTGTGACACACCAGAGTTCTGGTGTTTTCTGAGTTGCTCCAAAAATTACTTGGCAGTATTTGTACTGAAATTGCAACTCTGTAGTTTTTGATGACAACTGCTTCAATTCACCACTGCACTGCACCTGGTGTTCCTAACATAAGGTTATCATGTAAAATCTGTATTTCTGTTAGCAGAGTGTGTGCAGTAACTGCATTTTAGAGCCTTCAGGTCTCGTTAACAGTGTTGAGATAGCTGCCACTGGAACGTGCAGGACATAGCAAACTGGTTTTATTACATAACTGTGGATTTGTGTGCAGCTGGGTCCTAACCAGGCAAAACAGATGCTGTAAGATATAAAAGGATTAAACTGTGTCTGGGTTACAGGCCCAACCTTTTGCTAAATATTTCATGTAGCGTCATCTGGCACATGTTAATTATGTTGTATTATTACTGTTTTAGAAAACAGTAGTTATAAATAAGCAGCTGTTTCTTCCTGCTGCTTTGAGCTTGGAGTAAAATGTTAACACCAGCGTGTTGAGTTTAGTATTTGTCATTAGGTGAAACCCTAAACAATTACATGAGTAATGGTGTCTTTCCAAGGGCCCTTGTCTGCAGGAGGTGACATCTGAAGGTCCCCACTAAAGTCTGCTCTCAGAATCTGCAATAAATTGGCTGATGGCAGCTTTTACTGTGCACTGAAGAGTAGTTTAACTGGAAAGCCAAATGCCAAATTAAACACAGATAAAAATAGCAAGCTGCTCAGTTCTCTATTTAAAATCAGAAATATTCTAAAAACTTTGTGAAGCTGAATTTTCTCCAGATTAAAGCCAGTGAAGGATACCCTTAGATCAAGTTACTTCAGTGGTTTTTCATATTGCAATAGAAATAACCGCAATTAAAACTTGAAAATGAGGACAGCTTTTACTACAGAAGAACTGTAATGGAAAATATTCTTTAAAGAAAATGAAAGACATTTAAGTCCTAGAATCTCATCTAGTCTGAAGCCACACAGTTTCTCTCATGTATGAAGCACCCAAGTGCATCAACTTCTTGGACTTAATGTCTTGTATACACCTGGCTCTGTTATCTGTTACCACATCCAGCTCTGTGGCCTCTAAAACCATTCACCTGAACACCTGGCAGTCATTAATGTACTCATTCTCACAACGCAGTGGAGAGGGATTGTCCCTAATTTTGAGGTTATGAACAGAAGGAAATCCATAACAAACCAGAAGCAGCTGTCAAATTTAACATCAGAAGCTTTTCATCTCAATTTGGGCGCTTTCGTAGCTAACAAGTAAAATATTTGGATGAAGAGGGAAGCATACCTAAAGGAGGTCAGATAAGAAGCAGTCTTAGAAGTAAGTTTGACTTTATTTGAACAGAATACAGTCACCTAGAAAACAAGCTAACTGTCTTTTTACACTGACAGATGCAAGGACAGCACAGATATCACTGGAGAAGCGGTAGTTTCATTACCTCTTAAGCTACTTAGAATAACAAACCACGTTACAATTTCTTAGGACAATCTATTTGTGAGTATTTGCATATTTGCCCTATCAAGTTCTATCATGCAGTCAAGTGAGATATAAGCTACCCAGTTTTTAAGTTTACAAACATCATATTATGCAAACAGTTTCAAGTAAATACTTCTACCTAATTTGAAAAATCTGTCACCTTCCACAGCACCACACAAAGTTCTGGTGTTAAAGTAACATTTAAGCCACAGCAATAGCTAAATATTTGAAATATTTATGTAATACACTGTAAACTCTACGTAAACACTACGTACACCAAAAAAACATACAAAGAACAGGAAGATCTTTTGATTAGCAAAGATACCTCAAATGTATCGCCAGAATCATTTTCTGTTCTTACGACTTATCCCCAAACCACTCCCAGAGAAGGCACAGATGGTGGTGATTTTTTTTTTAGGTTTTTTTGTTTAAACACACAAAGCCAGAATCAACACAACAGGCCAATGCAGTCAAACACTGCTCTTATCTCTAGGAAGAACAGGTAAGGAACTTGCAAGGATGGCTCAGGAAGATTCTAGTTATGAAAGATCCCCAGCATCTGCTTATTGCCCTAGGCTCAAATGCAGAAAAAAATCAGAAATTAAGTTTATTTCAGGAGAACTTTGCTGTACAACTTGGGCAGGAGTGCCAGCTGGAGTTACTTGCCTGTTCCAAGGCAGTACTGAGGCTCAGCTCACAATCAGCTATTAATGGCACTCAGGAGAGATGATTTTTTTTTAAATTAAACTGGTAATTACTGTTCAAAGATTATACTCATAAAGTACTTGACACTACTTTTACTTTGGGTAAACAAAACCTTTAAATAAATAGATCTTTTAAAACGTAGTGTAACTACACAACTTAATGCTTCAAGACAGAATAGAGTACAGATCAGAAGATTATTTAAGTCATTCCAACTTTTTTGTTGTTACAGTATCTAAAAAGTTCTCCTTTACCAGCAAATTATGCAGTGTTTGGCAAAGAAATGCTATTGGTAGTTCTTTAAACAAAGATTATCCCCATTTTGTTAGAAAAAGATGCATTTACGAAAAAATATTTCAATAAGTCTATATCCTAAGCTAGCTAATAATACTTACACGACTGCACTGAACAAACTGCCTTGCATGGTCTATATACATCGAGGAACACAAGCTCAGATGCTCTCCTGGTTTCCCAAAAGACAGAAAGCATTGCTGGAGCCCATCACATTTTGTTGCAAGTCATCTTTGAGAAGTGAGACAAAACTCCATTTTGGCATTGCTGTTTTAGAGCATGTTCCAAGCACTTGTATAACCATCATCAGTGATCCAGAAATCTGCAAAAGATGCTGATATATTGCATTCATGGCATCAAAAAATAGAAAGACTGAGCACTGGAATTCTACATAAAAATGGAGCTTGAGGTATTTATACAACCCTTTATGATGGAGATTGAATCTTACCCGTTGCACGTGGTCTGCAACTGCTCAGGGCTCGTCACATGAAATACCATTCCTGGGTTAGTTTGGAAGACCTGCTGTTGCACAGGGTGTAAATAAGAGTCAGTCCAACTTTTACTGGCTGTAAAATTTGAATATTAACCGTGTGCTGTCTAAGTTCAGTACAAAGGACTAAAGCAATTGGCCTGCACTGAGCTGTAGAGAATGACCAAGCAGGTCCTGCAGCCTGGAGAGAGCCCCCAGCCAGCCCTGCTGCCCCTGCAGAGGCTGCCAGAGTGCAGGGCCTCTGCACCAGGTGCAGCACAGACACCTCAAGGCAGATTCCTTCCCTCTGCTCTCAACAGTGACTCTCACAGCAGCGAGCTCCAAAATGGGTTTAGTGGAGACGAAGGGTCATTTCTGGCCATGTTGACAAAGTACATTTTAGTCAAAAATGTCTGGGATGGATTAACAACAGAACGCTGCATGGATTCACTCAGCTTCTTTAAATGGTCATATTCACTCCTGTACACATCACATAACCTTCGGGGTAAAACTCCCAACAGACCAAACCAACCAACCAAAAAAGCTACAAGATGGATACAATCCAGGGTGGGCACAAAGGGGCTGGATCACCAGTGTCACAGCTGGAAATTCAGCGAGTAAGGCCTCACATTTAAGCAGGTCACTTGAGCTTTTCACTTTGCTTTTGAGATCTGAAAAGGTGCACAATAATTTTCAATAACTTGTTTTCATTTCCTCTATTTTTTTTTTTCAGAAGAGATTTTTGCTTATCTGGCAAGTACACTTTCTTGCATTCAGTATAGGGGCAAGCTGGACAAAAATCATAATAATTTCTAATTCATGCACAAACGTTATGATTTCTCAGGTTGTTAAGGCTGTTGTGCCAGAAAAAGGAACCAAATTCTCTGGGGAAGTATCAGCAACACTAAGCTAAACATAAAACATCTCAACTTTCTTTCAGGATAAAATGTGAAATAGTCAACATGGCCTAAAATCATGCACTCTTTTATTCACCTATTTTTATTCTGACAAGATAGATTAACATTTTCACATGGCCTTTGTAAAATGTCTTTCTAGTTTGTGTGAATACAGCTCGTGTTGTATGATTAATTTCTTACAAAACACATGCACTGGTGAAGGCTATGATAAACTGAACACATTTGCTACAGGGCATTTTTAAAACACTACTGCTTGCAAGACCATCAGTTTGACAGAGCCTGTTATAGAACAAAATAGGCCAAAACTAAAACTTGGCATGCCAGCACACTTTAATTCTGTATTTGTGAAATGACTTCTCAAACTATGGAGCTCTTTTCACTACCTTAAAAGGAAAACCCACACATACACACAAAATTCTAACAATTCTAACACCATATTTGTTCTTTACCAACTAGCATACATCTTAATGGTTTAAAGTGAATAAATTCCTCAAGATTGTGCATATCCAGGCATTACTAAGGAAATAAAGACACCCATCGCTATTCTTCTTAAATTTTATTCCATAATAAAAAATAGAAGATGAAAGAAATAGTGTGTTCAAGAATTAAAGCAATTATTGGTCAATGTAAGGAGCAGTAAACTAATTATCTAAATGATGATTAAGGACCTGGTTCATCAAAAGTAATTCTGGGTCCTCCATGGCGTAGTTGCAGGCTTCTACCAGACAGAAATCCAGATTATCTTTTACTGAAGCAGGTCCTTTATTATCTAGAGAACACTTGATTTCATACTCTATTTATCCTTCTCTTTTTGTTCCTTTTCCTTCTTTTCACGTTCAGCTTTTGCTTCCTCCTCCTCATGTTGTTTAATCAATTGTTCCACCTCCTTTTGCTTCAGAACCCTGATCACTGTCTTTCCGTTCTCTCTGGTCAGTGTTGCAATTTCAACTGAAACACATGGAACAGACAGCGCGTTACATTCTGTCCTGCGGGCACAGCGAGCAGCACAAGGGCGAGCTTTGGCAT